CCCAAGGGCCTACGCCGACGGGTGCTTGCAACAGCTGAAGCAGTTGCTATACGGCTAGCTAAACCAGTGCTGTATTGTCAGAAGACGCTGACAGAAGCCCTTTCACTTCCGTGGCCGACCCCGACGCCAGGTGAAGATTGCATTTCGCCCCCAACCCCTAGTGACAGTCGATCGCTTCGTGCAAATTGCAGAAATTATTCCTCCGTGTATCTGACCTCTGATCAACGCCCATAACCTAACCCAATTCCCTTCCTTCCCCCCTCCCCCCTTTTTCAACACAAGAAACCCTACACGTCGACCCCGCCATGCGGGCGACGCGTAAACGATGAATTGTAATCAGACTATATTTATTAACCCTGTCTAACTGTACAGTTTTAATTACCCCTGCAAATGTATGGCCTGATGATGATTTGCTGAAAACACTGTGTTTGCCAACGCGACTTCTCACATTTTTCAAGTGTTAATTCTGCCGAAGAGGTAATTTACTATCGAATGTGTACAGAGCAATATTTTTATACACGTTCCCATAAAAGGTATATAAATTTATATGTATATCGACAATCGAGAGAAAACGTCATGATACTTAAGCAGTTTTTGCATGTGGTCGAACAGAAACTCGCTCCAAGGCTGCAATCGAATTAATATTACAATTCCATTTCAGTAACCTTTTAGAATCCAGAGCATATTTCAGAATTTCGGTCAGCATTTCATGAGATAGCACCTACCGTTAGCTTACTGTTGTTGGTTTATGAATACTACGCGGTTATCGCGCGGTGGCTGATGCTCATGATTACTGAAACCTGAAATCTCAGCTGCGCTCAAAGTGCTTGCTCAGTAACAACTTTATGGTAGTCAGTTACGGAAACCCAGCATAACTGAGTACCAGAAAATCCAACTCTGTTTTTGCTTTGGGACGCAGAACGATCCACCAAAAGGTGACAGTAGAAGTATACTGACTGTCATTCGGTAGACTTCAAAGGGTGCCCTGGCCGAAATTCTCCAACCTATCCTTGACTCTCGTCTCAATTCAAAGTAAGGTAAATGTCTTAAACTTAAGAATTTCAACTGCGCCGGGGTGAAGACCTTGCAAGCCGAAATGGGAACATGAAATGTATGCCTAAGTCGATGCCATCCTCCAAGTCTTTGCCCATCTTTTGAGGTGTGCATGGCCCCATTCGATATAGTTCAATCATCAGAATGAATCGCGTGTACCGGATGTTTGTTAGATGAGTTCTTTTTGTGTTGATGGACGTTGGAATGTGCGTGTACGGAGAAATTGGAAATCTTCAGTCATCAATACCACCGAACGAGACTTAGAGCGACCTATGGCGATTTCCTCTTAATTGAAGATGCATGCCCTTTCTGAAAATAATATCGTGAAGTTAATACAGCCTATTCGAGGAGGACGGCTGAAGTCGATTGGTAACATTATCTGGTGATAATTAACCGACTTTAGTGCTGTTGCTCCAAATCTATTACTGTGCAGCCACGCACATGCCAATTGAAGTCAAGCCCGACGTCCTCCATTCGTGCCGCCAGATGATTTGTGGATCCGAAGTTTCATCGGGCAAAACTGACTGCGCCAGACAGTTAACGCCACCTCAGTCACCCGCAAAAATACTTCAAGTATTTTAGGGTTTCTTGTGGTAAAAGGTAACACATGGATGTGATTGAGTCTGGAAACAGACTATATATTTAGGTGATGTTTTTGGGTTCTTTTCGTGTTCATTTGGGAGCGAGAGGGAACTGAGATAAGAACGCATAATTTCAATCAGAGACGCCAAATCTTGGGGTTCAACTTCGTACTTTCGTAACTGAAGTAACTCAGCGCCTGGCCGTTTGGAAAGTTTAACTGTTATAGCAATATCGCCGCATCAAACTTTAAGCTTCGAGACCGGAGTAGACGTGGCACGTACACGATAACCTTCCGTCCCCCCTCCTTCAAATTAATACAAGCACGTGAAGTAAGAGATGGCTCTGGTAGAAATAAAGATGTAACAACATAAAATTATAGAAAAAGAACGAAGTTCGGTAGAGAAAATGGTTTGCAAAATCCACGAGGTAGGAAGAGGAGGGCAGTGTCACCAGAAATCCTCCGAGTTGTCCCGTCCATCACTAAAACAATAACGAAGATTTGCTTACGGACGACTGTAAGCTGGCGCAGGAAAGAAAATCAATTTTAAAGCATCTTTTCTGGACGAAGTCTTAACAGGGGGAAGGTGACGAAAGGGGTAGAATTTAGTGGCCCTGTGTACAACTGAGTGGTTTAAAAATACTAGAATAAGATGGGGTTCCGCTGCAATTATATTTTTTGGCTTATGAAAGCATAGAAACTTTAGAACATCGACGGGGCTTGAACCCACGACAGGCGGGACAGGGCTTGAGTGCAGCCAATGTTCATGCGCGCCCAACCAGTTTTTCCAAAGTAATTAATCTACAATGCTGTAGATGACAACCAAACCGAGATCAGAGGGTTTCGCACAGGTGTGCGACCTTTAAAATCTCCTTTGATCACGTATTTCAAGCGAGTCACAAGATTAAGAGTAATATATCGTGTCCTCTTCTGTGTTAGGACGCAATTACCGGTAACAAACGTGACGCTGAGCAGAAGCGCCTAAACAGGCTGGTTAGTCACAGTGCATGCTAATATAATTTTCTATCGTTAAAAGGATGACCACTTACCACATGAAAACCAAGTTGATATAAACTACATAGCGGAAAGCATTTCCGTCTGAAGCTACAACACGTTAAAGTAAAACGGTAACGCGACAGCGCAAAGCTGAAGTGCGCAAGGATCTAAGATTTAAATCCATGTAGAATCTAGAGTACGGGGCCACCGGCAAAAC